GCTGTGGGTCTGGGTGGGAGACAGAAACTCCATCTAGAAATTGTGCCCACCATGGAGCAAGAATGTCCACATAAAGCCTGAGAAAGCTTAATTTAAAAAAAAAAAAAAAGGATTCCAGAGAGACAAGAACAGAGTCAAGCACAGCTTCCTGGTAACTATCTTTTTTTCCCGGTAGGCTTTGTTTGCTAGAGCCAAGCAGAGGCATGGCTCCTTTTAAGAGAGGCTTCCTGACCCAGCTTTAGCTGCAAAAACCTCACAGCTCTTTTAAGAGGTTCTGCCATCAAACACTTAAATGGTGTTTATGAGCGGTCAGTGTCAGCAGCATGCTTCTTGGTGGTGGCAGAGTTGTGGCAATGAACATGGCTCCTACCAGTACCTCCACCATGAAGCTAGACTATCAGAAAACTAAGGAATAGGGTGGAGTCAGCTACCAAAGCCGTATCTTTAATCCTAGCCATGCGGTTTAGCAGATTTAAGACTCATGCGCTCAAAAAAAAAAAAAGAGAGAGATATACAGTAAAGACAGACTGAGATGGAAAACAAAAACAAAAACCTCTAAACAGTTTACAGTGTGTTTAAAAATATAGACTTGGGAGAAAAAAGAAAAAGGGCAGTTAAAGTCTTAAAAAAAAGAAAAAGAAAAAGAGGGCCAAGCAGTGGTGACGCACACCTTTAATCCCAGCACTCGAGAGGCAGAGACAAGCAATCTCTGTGAGTTCAAGGCCTGGTCTACAGGTTCCAGGTTCCAAAGCAACAGAGAAACCCTATCTCAAAAAACCAAAAGTGAAAAATAAAAATAAAAGAAATAGAATAAGGAAAAAAAAACACATAAAGATGGAAAATATACAAAGAGTCTAGATACCTTACATTACTGTGCTGTCTGAATTGTTTGACTGCTGAGGAAGGAGCAACAGTTGCTGCTGGATTAATCCAATCTATTGAATTAATATTTTGAAAATGCCTTGACTTCAAAATTTAAGTCAAAAGACTTCAAAATTTAAGTCAAAAGACTTCAAAATTTAAGTAAAAAGGTATGTTACTTTGGAGAAGAGGTTTTGCTTTTGTTTCCACAGGAAATGAGAGGCTGTGGATTCATTCCTGGTTAAGAAAAATAAGGCACTAGCCAGCCATCAGGCAAGCTTCCTGCAGGTAGGTTGTTCCAACACATGGCCCCCTCATCGATCTGACCCTTATAAATTACAAGGCCCATTCCACCACCCATCTCCTGCGACCTCAAGGAACTCTGAACCACAGGCTGCAACAGTACCCAGCAGACCAAGAGTAAGTGATCAGCTAGCCAGCTGAACACCCCACTCTCTAGGCAAAACCCTGGGCCCCTCCCCCACCTGCGACATGTTCTCTACCCAGCCAGAGTGCAGGTAGGCTGCTTCAACACCCCCCCAATCAATCTGACTCTATAAGCTATAAAGACCACTCTGTCCCCAAACCCACCCATCCCCTGCTACCTTAGAGGAACTCTGAACCATAGGCTGCAACTGCACACAGAGGGATAAGAAGCTGCAACTGCACACAGTGGACCAAGAGATCAGCAGCTCCCTGAGACACAGACAGTGACTGCAAGGATTGGACCAAGAGGCAAAGACAGTGCCAGCACCCATTGGAGGAAGAGATGGACAGGCACCAATAAAAAAATTCGTTCAACAACCTAAAAAGCAACATGGTAATGTCAGAACCAAGTGATCATACAACAGGAAGACCTGATCATCCTAATCCAGAAAAAGCAGAGAAAGATGATCTTAAATATAACTTTATGGAGATGATAGAGACACTTAAAGAGGAAATAAAAAAACTCCCTTAAAGAAATGGAGGAGACTGGCTGCTCTGAAAAGCCATCTTTGCATTGTTTCTGGGTCCTGCTCCACATTCGCCGCCCCCCCCCACCCATCCTCATCCTCCTCCTCCGACTCCAGCAGCTTTCTCGCCAGAGTCATCGAATTCAATTCCTTTCTCACTCGCGCATCGGACCACCAGCGTGCACCCCCAACCCCATGTCAGATGCTGCCATGGACACCAGCTCTGAGATCACCACCAAGGACGTGGAGGAGAGAAGGAAGTTGTGGAGAAGGCAGACAATGAAAGAGACACACCTGCCAAAGAGAAAGTGGGAAGCAGGAGGCCAACAATGAGGTAGATGAAGAGGAGGACGCTGAGGCTCCTACAGGCAAAGGGTAGCTGAAGAGGATGAGGAAGATGATACTGACAGCAAGAAGCAGACAACTGCTGAAGATGACTGGACAGCAAAAAAGCTGAACTAAGGCCTCCGTGACCTGTTCACCCTCCACTTCCCGTCGTCTCAGAATTTAAACATGGTCACCTTCAGTAGAGGAGCAGGCCCCGCTCGCCCACAGTGGGCAATGCCACCCCCAGATGACATGAGCTCTTCATCAACCCACCAAAAACCACACCATGGATTTGCAACAGGGGAGGAAAAAACCCAAAACTTCCAAGGCCCTGCTTTTTTTCCTTAAAAATACTTTAAAAGAAATTTTATTTTTTATTTACATTTTATATTTTTGTACATATTGTTAGGGGTCAGCCATTTCTAATGATAATGGGTGACCAGACCAGCCTTCAGAGTGTTCTCTGTCCTACTTCTGACCTTACTTGTGGTGGTACCATGTTCATTATAATCTCAAAGGAGAAAAAAAAAAAAACCTTGTAAAAAAAACACCAAAAACAACAACAGAAAAACCCAACCTTATTCCAATAACTTCTTTTGTGTATGTACCTGGCTCTACTGTAAGTAGTTGCTTTGTATGAGATGGTTAAAAAGACCAAAGATAAGAGGTTTCTTCTTTTTCTTCCTTGTTTTGTCTATGAAGTTGCTGTTTGTTTATCTTTCGGCCTCTTTGATGTATGTGTAAAACAATGTCCAACAATAAACCATAATTTTATTTTGCTGAGTTGTTCTTAAAAAAAGAAAAAAGAAATGGATGAAAAGACAAATAAAAAATTTGAAGAAATCAATAAATCTCTTAAAGAAACTCAAGAAAACCAAGAAAAAGCAAATGAGTAAAGGAAACAGATCAAGATTTGAAAACTAAAATAGAGGCAATAAAGAAAACAAAAACAGGGAATTCAGGAAATCTGGGTAAAATAACAGGAACTATGATGTATGCATAACCAACAGAATACAAGAGATGGAAGAGAGAATTTCAGACATTGAAGATACTATAGAGGAAACAGATTCATCAATCAAAGATAACGTTAAATCCAACAAATTTTTAACACAAAATATTCAGGAAATCTGGGATACCATGAAAAGACCAAACCTAAGAATAATAGGGGTAGAAGGGGGTCAGAAGAACTCCAGCTGAAAGGCACAGAAAATATATTCAACAAAATCATAGAAGAAAACTTTCCCAACCTAAAGAAGGATGTAGCTATGAAGGTACAAGAAGCTTATAGAACACCAAACAGATTGAACAAAAAAAAAAAGATCCCCTTGCTATGTAATAATCAAAACACAAAATATAAAGAAAGAAAGACTACTAAGAGCTGTGAAGAAAAAAGGCCAAGTAACATATAAAGGCAGACCTATCAGAATTATACCTGACTTCTCAATGAAAACCAAGAAAGCCAGAAGGTCCTGGACAGACATGCTGTAGACACTAAGAGACCATGGATACAAGCCCAGACTACTATACCCAGCAAAGCTTTTAATCACCATCAGTGGAGAAAACAAGATATTCCATGACAAAATGGGATTCAAATAATACCTGTCCACAAATCCAGCATTGCAGAAAGTACTAGAAGGAAAACTCCAACCCAAGAAAGCTAACTGCACCCCCCACACAAATAACTGCAGGGAATAGAAAACTTTGCATCAGCAAACTCCCAAGAAGGAAAAACACACAAACACTACCACCAAAAAATAACAGGAATTAACAACCACTGGTCATTAATATCTCTTAATATCAATGGATTCAATTCACCTATAAAAAAAAACACAGGCTAACAGAACAGATGTGAAAGCAGGATCCATCCTTCTGCTGTATACAAGAAACCACCTCAACCTCAAAAACAGACATCTTCTCAGAGTAAAGAGTTGGTTAAAGATTGGTGGAGCACACCTTTAATCCCAGCACTTGGGAGGCAGAGGCAGGCGGATCTCTGTGAGTTCGAGACCAGCCTGCAAGAGCTAGTTCCAGGACAGGCTCCAAGGCTACAGAGAAACCCTGTCTCGAAAAACTAAAAAAAAAAAAAAGATTTTCCAATCCCAAAATGGACCCAAGAAACAAGCAGGTATAGCTATTCTAATATCTAACAAAACAAACCTCAAACTAAAATCAATCAGAAGAAATGGACACTTCATACTCATCACAGGAAAAAATCATCAAGATGAAGTCTCAATTATGAACATTTATGCCCTAAATACAAGAGCATCCACATATGTAAAAGAAACATTACTAAACCCCACACACTAATAGTAGGAGACTTCAACACCCCACTCTCACCAATGGACAGGTCAATCAGACAGAAACTTAACAGAGATAAGAGAACTAAGAGATGTTATGATTCAAATGGACTTTTCAGACATCTACAAAACATACCATCCATACACAAAAGAATATACCTTCTTTTCAGCACCTCATGGAATCTTATCTAAAATTGACCACATTCTTGGTAACAAAGCAAACGTCAACAGATTTTAAAAAAATGGAATAACACCCTGTATCTTATTGGATCACCATGTTTAAACTTAGAATTCAACAACAAGATTAACCACAGAAAGCCTACAAACTCATGGGAATTGAATCACTCTTGAGTCAAGGAAGAAATAAAGAAAGATATTGAAGACTTCCTAGAATTAAATGGAAATGAAAGCCCAACATACCCAATCCTATGGTACACTATGAAAGCAGTGCTAAGAGGAAAGTTCATAGCACTAAGTGCCCACATAAAGAAAATGGAGAAAGCTCACATCAGTGACTTAACAGCACACCTGAAAGCTCTAGAAGAAAAAGAAGTAAACTCACCCAGGAGGAAAAGAGGACAGGAAATAATCAAATTGAGGGCCGAAATCAATAAAACTGAAACAAAAAAAAAACAATACAAAGAATCAATAAAACAAAGAGTTGATTCTTTGAGAAATATCAACAAGACAGACAAACTAATCAAAAGGCAGCGAGAAAACATCCAAATTAACAAAATCAGAAATTAAAAGGGGGATATAACAACAGACACTGAGGAAATCCAGAGACTCATTAGATCATACTACAAAAACTTATACTCCACAATATTGGTAAATGTAAAAGAAATTGATAATTTTCTTGATAGGTACCACAAGCCAAAATTAAATCAAGACCAGGTAAACAATTTAAATAGACCTATAACCTACAAAGAAATAGAAGCTGTCATCAAAAGCCTCCAAACCAAAAAAAGCCCAGTGCCGGATAGTTTTAGCACAGAATTCTACCAGAACTTCAAAGAAGAGCTAATATCTATACTCCTCAAATTGTTCCACCTAATAGAAATAGAAGGAACATTGCCAAACTCTTTCTGTGAGGCTACAGTTACCCTGATACCAAAATCACATAAAGACTCAACCAAGAAAGAGAATTACAGACCAATCTCCCTCATGAACATTGATGCAAAAATACTCAATAAAATATTGACAAATCGAATATAAGAACACATAAAAAAATTTATCATGAGCAAGTCAGCTTCATCCTAGACATGCAGGATGGTTCAACATATGAAAATCTATTGATTGCCAGGCAGTGGTGGCGCACGCCTTTAATCCCAGCACTCGGGAGGCAGAGGCAGGTGGATCTCTGTGAGTTCGAGACCAGCCTGGTCTACAAGAGCTAGTTCCAGGACAGGCTCCAAAGCCACAGAGAAACCCTGTCTTGAAAAACAGAAAGAAAGAAAGAAAGAAAGAAAGAAAGAAAGAAAGGAAGGAAAGAAAGAAAATCTATTGATGTAATTCACTACATAAATAAACTGAAAGAAAAAACCATACGATCATCTCATTAGATGCTGAAAAGGCATTCAACAAAAATCTGACATTCCTTCATGATAAAGATCTTGGAAAGATCAGGGATACAAGGTTCATATCTAAACATAATAAAAGCAATATACAGCAAGTCGACAGTCAACATCAAATTAAATGGAGAGAAACTCAAAGTGATTACACTAAAATCATGAACAAGACAAGACTGCCCACTCTCTCCATATCTATTCAACATAGTTCTTGAAGTTCTAGCAAGAGCAGTAAGACAACAAAAGAAGATCAACCGGATACAAATTGGGTAGGAAGAAGTCAAACTTTCACTATTCTCAGATGATATGACACTATACATAAGTAACCCCAAAAATTCTAACAGGGAACTCCTACAGCTGATAAACACCTTCAATAATGTGGCAGGATACAAGAGCAACTCAAAAAAATCAGTAGCCCTCCTATATACAGATGATAAAGAAGCTGAGAAAGAAATCAGAGAACCATCACCATTCACAATAGCCACAAATAACATAAAATATTTTGGGGTAACACTAACCAAACAAGTGAAAGACCTGTACGAAAAGAACTTCAGTATTTAAAAAAAAAAAGAAAGAAAGTGAAGATATCAGAAAATAGAAGGATCTCCCATGCTCTTAGATCAACATAATAATTATGGCAATCCTACCAAGAGCAATCTACAGATTCAATGCAATGCCCATCAAAATCCCAACAATTCTTCACAGACCTCAAAAGAACAACAAAAAAACCAGGATAGCCAAAACAATCCTGTACAATAAAAGAACTTCTGGAGTCATCATCATCCCTGACATCAAGCTGTTTTATAGAGCTACAGTAATGAAAACAGCTTGGTATTTGCATAAAAACAGATAGGATGACCAGTGGAATCAAATCAAAGACCCGGATACTAATCCATACACCTATGAACACCTGATATTTAAGAAAGAAGCTAAAATTATACAATGGAAAAAAAGATAGCATCTTCAACAAATGGTGCTGGTTACAGATTCAATGCAATGCCCATCAAAATCCTAGCAAAATTCTTCAAAGACCTGGAAAGAATGGTACTCAACTTCATATGGAAAAGCAAAAAACCCAGGATAGACAAAACAATCCTGTAGAATAAAAGAACTTCTGGAGGCATCACAATCCCTGACTCCAAATTCTTCTCCAGAGCTACAGTACTGAAAACAGCCTAAGAATAGACAGGAGGACCAATGGAACCGAATAGAAGACCCGGATATCAATCCACACATCTTCGAACACCTGATCTTTGATAAAGAAGCAAAAAATGTCAAATGCAAAAAAGAAAGTATATTTAACAAGTGGTGCTGGCATAGCTGGATATCAACATGTAGAAGAGTGAAAATAGACCCATATCTATCACCATGCACAAAACTCAAGTCCAAATGGATCAAAGACCTCAACATAAAGCCATCTACACAGAACCTTATAGAAGAGAAAGTGGGAAGTACACTTGAACATTGGCACAGGGAACCACTTCCTAAATAGAACCCCAGCAGCACAGACACTGAGAGAAACAATTACTAAATGGGACCTCCTGAAACTGAAAAGCTTCTGTAAATCAAAGGACACGGTCAACAAGACAAAACGACAGCCTACAGAATGGGTAAAGATCTTCACTAATCCCACATCAGACAGAGGGCTGATCTCTAAAATATATAATGAACTCAAGAAATTGGGCACCAGGGCTGGAGAGATGGCTCAGAGGTTAAGAGCACTAATTGTTCTTCCAGAGGTCCTGAGTTCAATTCCCAGCAACCACATGGTGGCTCACAACCATCTGTAATAAAATCTGATGCCCTCTTCTGGCCTGCAGGCGCACATGCAGACAGAATACTGTAAACAAAAATAAATAAATAAATCTTAAAAAAAAAAAAAAAGAAATTGGGCACCAAAAGAACACATAATCCAATAAAAAAAAAATGAAGTACAGACCTAAACAGAGAACTCTTTTTTTTTTAAGTAAGACAATACTTTTCTTTTTTTAATATTTATTTATTATATATACAATATTCTGTCTGTGTGTATGCCTAAAGGCCAGAACAGGGCACCAGACCTCATTACAGATGGTTGTGAGCCACCATGTGGTTGCTGGGAATTGAACTCAGGACCTTTGGAAGAGCAGGCAATGCTCTTAACCACTGAGCCATCTCTCCAGCCCAAAACAGAGAACTCTTAACAGAGGAATCTAAAATGGCTGAAAGACACTTAAGGAAATGTTCACCATCCTTAGTCATCAGGGAAATGCAAATCAAAACAACTCTGAGATTCCACATTACATCTGAAAGAATGGCCAAGATCAAAAACACTAATGACAATTTATGCTGGAGAGGCTGTAGGGAAAAGGGAACACTTCTGCATTGCTGGTGGGAATGCAAGCTGGTACCGCCCCATTGGATGCCAGTGTGGCCATTTCTCAGAAAATTAGGAAACAACCTTACTCAAGTCCCAGTAATACCACTTTTGGGTATATATCCAAAGGATGCTCAATCGTGCCACAAGGACATGTGCTCAACTATGTTCATATCAGCCTTGTTTGTCATAGCCAGAACCTGGAAACAACCTAAATGCCCGAAGAATGGATAAGAAAAATGTGGTACATTTACACAATGGAGTACTACACAACAGAAAAAAATAATGACAGCTTGATTTTTGCAGGAAAATGGATGGAGCTAGAAAACATTATTTTGAGTGAGGTAACCCAGACACAGAAAGACAATTACCACATGTACTCACTCATAGCTGGTTTTTAAACATAAAGCAAAGAAGGCCAGCCTACAAACCACAATCCCAGAGAACTCAGACAACAATGCAGACACTAAGAGAGAGTTACATAGATCTAATCTGCACGGGAAGTAGAAAGTAGAAAAAGACAAGATCTCCTGAGTAAATTAGGAGCCTCTATTGTCATACAGCCAAAAAGAAGAGCTGGATCCTAATTCAGTACACATGGGGGCAGGGTTAATCTAAGCACTGTGCTCCCCTGCTTCCCCGGTGCATCAGGCACTCGAAAGCACTCGAAAGCTCCCGGCAGAGTGGTGTCCAGTGCATTACCCTTCCTCATTCCTTACCATTCACTGCTTACAGAAGGAACAGTGTACGTTATTTCTTTAAAGAAATCATATTCGTTATTATCTCTCTTAATCACATGAAATCTCTGCCTATCATTGTGTACTTTTCACCTACTTTACAAATAATCAACTGTAAACACAGCAATCTGCTAGAGTCATATGGAAGTTATTGCCAAAAACTAATGAAAACTTTGGTACTTTTACTTTAAAATCAACTTTTATCCCCTCACATGACACAGCTTCCATAATAAAGAACAGACCATTCATTTTTTATCTGGAAAACTACCAAACACATAATTCAGTAAGGGGCCTTATGACCCTACCACCTTGTCAAGGAGAAGAAAGTCTATAAAAAATGAGGTTTGCAGGAGCAGAGGGTTTTGGTCTGTCAACTTTCTCTTGGATTACATCCATTAGCCAAGATAAAATAATGTAAAAAACCGATGTAACAAATCCTACATCTTTGAAAATACAAGTTAAACACACTGATACTTCAAACTTATGTTCGACACACCAAGGGCAACTGTTAACTCCAGTGGGGTTGCAGAGATGCGTGTTATGTCAATCTGACCTTTCAAATAAAAATGTGAAAAGTGTTTGGGCTGCTTTGAAAAGAACCCAAGCCAAGAGTATACATTAGCAACACAAGTTCGTAGCATTGCAGAATTTGAGGACCATCGAGGGACCTACAGACCCGAGCATAGCCCTTTCATCTGGTCCGTGAGAAAGACAGAGCTCAGAAAAATGAAGTCACCTACAAGACTACAGACAGAAGTTTAACAACCAGAGGATGAAGATGCTGCCAACAATCTATTTCTCTTGTAATATTTAAAAGTAATTTTTAAAGGTTTCTTTTATATTTATCTGCACATGTGTGTGTATGTCTCTGTGGTCATATGCCAAATATGTGTGGGTACTCAATGTGGCGAGAAGAAGGTGTCGACAGTTGTAAGATGCTAAGAAGCTGCTAGGAACTGAACTTGAAATCTCTGGAAGAACAGAGCACTCCCAACTGTCGAGCTATCTCTCCAGCCCCTCCACTTGTAAATCTTGCTTCTGATATTCATAATTACTTTCAGTACTTTCCAGAATTATTCATTGGAATAGAGAGTAACAGAAAAACTCACAATTCTCAAATCTTGTCTGCCAATACAGGTCATATGATCATGGCAATCTCTATTTCTTGAAGCTTTAAGGCTTTTTGTCTATAAACTGTGTTGTGGGTCACAGTGGAGGTGATGCAAACAAAAAGCCTGACAAATGGTCTATGAGCAAGCATAAGGTCTCTGTGCCCTCAGCAGAGACTGGAACACACACATGCTGAGAAGACACTTCCCAAGCAAACAGGCACAAAACCCAAGATTTTACGGCTGTTAAACACAAGTTATACTAGCCAGTTCACAAGATTTTAGAGCAGAGTGTTAATTCCATTTTATATAGTATCAAGAACATATGGCCATATGGTAGGAAAAAGTATAGTCAAGGAAGCTGTCAGTTCCCCCAGGGTTATGGCTGTTCTCACAGCTGAGCGTGGTGGTACACAATCTGTACTCACAGCACTCTCAAGGCGGAGGCAGGATGGTCTCACATACCTGGCCACCTAGCAAGACGTCATTGTGACTCTTTGTAGCCAAGGAAACCTGGGTGGCACTAGATTACCTCTTGGAGACTAAACTTTCCTAATTGGAAAAATTACTTTAAAAGGATCAAATAACAAATGAAGCAATTTCTACAAAGAAATACAGGATGACAGGTGACACAAAAGGAACCCTAGTCATTCTATTTCCCTTTTGCTATTTGGACGATGTCACAGCTTTAATCATTTAAATATCCCTTCCTTCTTGAATCTTGCTTGCTTCTCTAGAGCCCCCAAATTTCTTTCTTAAAAATAATTTTTAAAAAAATTATGTGTGTGAGGGCATGTCTACATGAGTTCATGTGCACCACACATGTGCAAGTGCTCAGAGTCTGAGTGATGTGGATGGGAATGGCCCTCATTCAGTGCATAACACTCGGTCCCTGGTTGCTGGGATCGTGGAAGGATTTAGAGGTATGGCCTTGTTAGAGGAAGTGTGGGGTTGGCTTTGAAGTTTCAAAAAAGAATCTTGTCACTCCCACTGTACACTCTGTTTTCTGTTTGTGAGGTCTCAGCTGCTTCTCCAGCGTCATGCCTGCTTGCCTGCCACCATGCTCCTGCCACAATGGTGATAGAGTCTATCTCTCTGGAACTACCAGCCCCAAATAAACTCTCCCATGCATAGGCTGCCCTGGTCAAGGCGTTTTATCACACCAATAGTAACTAAGACAATACCAAAGGGCATATGAAATCTCTTAGAACTGGAGATACAGTTGTAAGCTGCCAGGAACTGAAGCCTGACCCTCTGCAAGAGCAGCGAGTGCTCTTACTCACGGAGCCATCTCAGCAGCCCTCTTCCATCTCTTTGCATGCTGACTCTTCATAGATCTTACCAGACACTATGGAGTTCATTCTATCTGCTCAACTAGCAGGTGAGCTCCGAAGGAACAAGGAGCTTTGTGGTTTGGCTTACTGCTATACCCCAATAACTAGGAAAGGGCCTGGCACAACTGGTCAGTGTGAGGCACTGTAGGAACGGGGGGTTTTCTGCTGTGTAATCATGGCTCATGGCTCACGTACACTGCCATAATTTTACTGTTCTTTGTATGTCCACTTTGTCCCCAATATTCCACGTTAATCAGCAATGAGAGAGAGACTTGCAAAGTCCCTGTCAGATCAATCCTTTGCTTGCACCCATTAATGGCTTCTCAGTACCATTAGGAGAAATCCCAGTTCCTCCCATGGCCTGTGAAGTCTCCACCGTCAGTACTAACCCAACCCTTGTGCTTCAGACACACCAGCTTTTCTTTCACTCAAACATGCCACCATCTTGTCTGTTCTTTCAAGGAAGGATTTTGTTGTGTAGACCAGGCTGGCCCTGAACTTGTGATCCTCCTGACCCCACTTCCCAAGTATTATCTTTTCTTTTTAAAGCTTTCATTTATTGCTGTGGAAGCAGGAAGTGAGTCTGCTGCATATTGAGAGTTGCTGTCACAGCCCACATGTGGAGGCCAGAGAAAAACTAGGTAGAGTCAGTTCTTTCTGCCTGTATGAGGGCTTCAGGGATGGAACTCACTGCCAGGCTTCTATGGCAAGGGTTTTATCCACTAAGCCATCTCATCAGCCTTGTCTTCTCTTTTCAAATTCAAGAAGGAAGATCTATTCTTATTCACTTAAAAATCCATGAAGAAGCAAAACAAACAAACAAAAAACCCCACTACTCTGGACTTATGCCTTTAATTCTTCAATTACCAAAGAGTAATGTAAAAATAATCCAACAAGGAACACGGGGTTAGAGTTGACAAGTGTCAAGTTGCTTTCTGAGCTGAGGCCTTTGTGCTTCCTCCGGGCTGAAGACTCCCCCTCATCATCTGCTCTCAGCAGAAATGATAACTCCTTAAACGACCCTCCCATGCTAAAACTGCCCTTCCCACTATCACACCTGTCAATCACTCCCTCCTGGATACTAATAGCTTTCCTTTCCCCCTAGGATTTATTTCATTTAATCTTAATGACTTGGTGTGTTAACTTGTCCTAACTTCCCAGCCAGAAAGTGTAGGGACAAGGTGTTCGCAAGCTTACTGCTATAGCGCACACAGATATGCGATAAGCAAATCTGCATCAGCAAACTGACCTCACAGCTTAGCCAGGATGAAGGATGTGGATAATAGGTCATGCTATTGGCCCAAATGTCTCAAGGTACTAGTTTCCATCCAAAGACAACTACTCCGAGTCACTGAAAAACGTGGATTTCAGCCAAACTTACTTGGGGATAGGTACCCGAATTAGAGTCCCTTCCACTTCTGGGTTCAGATTCATTCCACTTTCTCTTATAGCCTTGATAGCTGCAGCTGTACACTGAAAACCAGATCAAAAGGTAAACAGAATTAGTAAATAATTATTACCAGATGCAAGCCCTCTGTCGATAACTGGCAACCCATCTTGGCAGAACATGGAAACATTTAGTTCTGTTACCAGTAAGATCAGGAAGTTACACTGGTGTAGAGTGCTTTGATCAAGCTGAATAGCAAGCCATGTCCACTCCTGGTACCAGTGTATTGCGGAAGGAAAAAAAGAAAGAAGAAAAAAGAAAAAGAAAACAGCTCTGCTTCTTTGAAAAGATTTCAATGGTTTGAGGCAACACAGATCAAAACCACAATAAATCCTCAAGGGAGGAGGGCTGGTCTGTGCAAAGATTGGTGTAAAGACAGATGAAAGATTTCATAAGTTAAAAATTTCAGTTGACATTTTACACTCAAAATATACCAGTGCCGGTTTGGAATGAGTAAATAAATTTAACTCATTCACATCTACACTCATACCAAACTCACGCTGTGGAAGGAGCAGTAACCCCCACTGCTGTGCACCACAGAAAAAGCAGAGTGACAGAAGAAAAGCATGGGTCTTGGAATCAGAAAAACTTCACTTTAAATACAGCTTTGGGACCACATACCCTGAGCAATAAATTTGACCATTCATAATCTGAGATGATATGGTACCTACGTATCACAAAAGCAATGAGATGATGAAAGCAACATACCTAACTCAGTGCCTGGCACAGAGTTAATATCCAGTCAAGAGCAGTTATTTTATGAACAAACCATATCCATGTATTGAAAGTGTGTAAAGTCCTCCTAACATCCTTTAGGAACTTCTCTTGCAGAATCAATCCTAAAAACAACAGGAAGTGGGTGGAAGACAATGAACTCACAAGAACAAGGCTCCTGACATGTTCCAGAGCTGATTTATGCCACTTGAACTCAAAGGCCAGTCCTGTCCTTGAGCTCCTCCAGCTTTACGTTTGAAAGGCATGGAAGGTGGTACACACTTATGTTACTTTTCCAAGCATTTCACTGTTCCTGTTTTAGAGGAGGTGTCTAAAAACTTACCCACTCCATCTTTAAATCACCTTAATTCTACATCTGTATGACATCACGACAACAAACCAGATCATCCATACACATATGTGTAGAACCTAAGAGTGGGCAAAATATAAGTATCTATAGTAAATTTTTTTAAATGTTGCCTCAAATAATAGGCCTTTGGTGTTGGAAAGGAATCTCTGCTATAACCAAGCACCACCTGTTTATTATGAACAAGGAGCCTACAGGGTAAAGTCACATTCTTTAGAATAGACAGCATCCCTTGACAGCCCAAGAAAGATGCAATAAAAGAGACAATCTATCAAACTTCAGTTACTTTCAGGGGTAGGGAGAGGCTGAGCTGCATTTGGTCTAATGTTGTTACTTTGTCTTTATTCTTTTTACAGATCCTCAAGCTCAATGTATTCAGTAATTATTACATAAGGAAACAACTATGAACAATATATATAAAAGTGGAACTGCAGAGACAGCTCAGCAGTTAAGAGTGCTTGCTACTTTTACAGGGCACCCAAGTTTGGTTCACAGCAGCTTATAAACATCTGTAACTCCAATTCCAGGAGACCCAATACCATCTCCTGGCCCCTGTGAATAATGCATGCACACAGTACACTCATAAGCACTCATATACATAAAAATAAACAAGTTAACTGGGCAAAAATAAAGAAAATATCTCCTTGCAGAGAACAGTCACCTTTATAAAATCATTTGTAGAGTTAAGAGTAAAGGAAGAGTCCCCACTTTGAAGAGGAAGCTCTAGCTCCCACCTCCTAACCTTCTATAGCTTCTCACCACATAACCCAGAAAACACTGCTATTACACCCTTATGTCTTAGGTAGGGTTTTCATTGTTGTGAAGAGACACCATGACCACAGTAACTCTTTAAAGGAAAACAATTATTTGGGGCTGGCTTACAGTTTCAGAGGTTAGCCCATTATCGTCATGGCGAGAAGCATGAGAGCACGCAGACAGACGTGAGAAGAAGCTGAGAGTTCTACATCCTGATCCACAGGCAGCAGCAGGAGACTAGCTTGAGCATATGAGACCTTAAAGCCTGCCTCCATAGTGACACACTTCCTCCAACAAGGCCATACCTAATAGTTCCACTCCCTATACACCAAGCATCCAAACACATGAGTCTATGGGGGCCATTCCCATTCAAACCACCATACTCTACTACCACCAAGATCCTTTTCAGTCCAAGCAACCTTCCCCTGTAGATGAACGAGTACTCACTCAGACATCAAGCTAGGCAGTGTCTCACTATTTCCACATGCACAGTGGAAGCTGCAGTGCCAGTGAAGCACAAAAGCTTGCTGAATGAATACTCTTAGTAATTCCATTTAAGTCAACTGGAACATGCATCTCCTGACTTTACTTCAAAACCTTACTTTATAGTTTTTTTTATGTCTTCATATTTAGGGAAAAATGTTAACTGAGATTTCTCATAAAGCAACTTACTGAAAGTTTATCTAGGTATGTATATTTTGGTTTGCCACGGTAGGACTCAGGCCTTAGGAAACTATAGTCATTTCCCTAACAGTATGTTTAAACTATTCATAGGTCAAACAAAAAAGGCATATATGCATATACAATTTCCATTCCTTATCTTTAGCTTTTAATTCTGTCACTGGAGGGGAACACTCCCTGGTATCACAAGGCAGACTGGTTGCTTTGTTCTCCATACTAACCAACTGGCAGTGGATACTGGCATACTGTATATTGAGAAAGATCACTGACCCAACCTGGGGACTGGCAGAGAAGAGTTCCACTATCAATTAATTAGCAATGCCTGTCCTTGCCAACCCACAATAATGGACAAAAGATAGCAAAATGTCTGTATACAGGTAAACAAGGTCTTGAGAATTCAGTCAACTCTGTTAGTGCCATATCAATTACTGGCTTTCCATTTCTTTATACCTCAGTGAATCCCTAGAATACAAGGTACTGAAAACAGACCTCTCGTATCTCTAACCACCAATAGTTTCCAGCCCTCCACATAAAACCTACTCACTTGGAGGATGCAAAAGATATCAGCGAGTTAATGCAGGATGGTGAAGAGTACAAGCCTACGTGTCGAGCAGAACTATGTGCCTAACAGTGTGAAGCTAGGGAGGCATTTCCCTTTTCTGAGCCTGTTGCCTCATCTACAAATAATGGAGCCTACTGATGGTGTTACCGTTGTCATTGTTATTTGCTTTTGCTCAGATGCTGCTGCTTTCATTCACTTCTCTTCTTTCCCATCATTAACTGTAGCTTCAGGCATGTTTAGGGAAGAGGACAGCTGTGTGCATAATTTATCAAGCGGAATATACGCTAAACAAATGAAACACAGGTTTACATGTAAATCTGCACTGTGTCACAAAAGCATGACACAGAAATGTCCAGGCTTGGAAAGAAAGTCAACTGCACATGAAACAGAAAGAAATTCTATACACACAAGAAGGATTAGCTGAGCATTTTGAAGCCATGAACCTCAGTACTCTGTGGGCAGATTCTAAAGCTGGGGGAAGGAAGTATTTAGTTAGAGCTGTTGGTTTATGCACCCACCAGATGAGATGAAACTCACACTTCCTCACTGTGCCTATGCCTGCGCCCTCTACTGAGATGCTGGGTAAGCTTTTTCCAGAACCCAGGGGATGGCACACTAGAGAAATGGCAAAGATACTTTAGTTGAACTTCCTAAGAAAAAATTAAGCAGTTAATACCTCCTTCTGCCTCATAAGAGATGCTCTGGTGGCCAATCAGGTGCTACTTCTATGAATAACATTTGCCATTTAATAACAGAAGTGGTTGGCTCTGAAAAGCAATCTGCCTGATGAGGTCTTCAAGCTGTGTAATTAGGAGGCTAGTCCCTAAATTGGCCTACAGTGCCTATGGGATTAGATGAACAGGGCAGAGACGCCTCAGGGGTTCAGAGGGGGACAACAGGGAACAAGTTGACAGTTCCTTTTCATCTGTTTCTATGCTCCTCAGTAACGCCATGAATGAGTGCTTCCTTTCCACATACCTAATAACACATATCCACTAATGTAAAGACAACGTATGGAGCAATTCCATGTTATATATGACTCTTCTAATGCAAGCTTACAATCTAGTGAAAAAGTGACATCTACACTGAAATTCAAAACATGAGTGGCAAACAGCCAGCAGAAAATATTCCAAGTCACAAGAACAGTACCTACAAACACTCTGAGGGTGTAATAGTCATGATGTATTTTAAGGCCAGTCTGAGTACAATGGAGTACCAGGAAGACAATGCAACAGAACTGCAGACTGGATGCAGGCTGAGGCCAGATCACCAAAGCCTTTTTGTCCACAGTAAACATTTTGAATTTTCACTTCTTAAAGATCATTTGAATTGTGAGAATGATACAATCCAACATATACCTTGAAATGTTAAAGTTCACTGTGGCTGCAGGATGGAGAACGGAGAAGGGCAGTGGTTCAACAAATCCAAAAGTGTGCCTGCTGCATCAGTCGCAGGACCCTTCTGGCTGGAAACGATTTGTTCTACTCCTACTGTTAAACTGGTCTGTCAAATCCAATGCACAGCCCGACATGAACACAACAACTGACAGAGACCAGAGCAGGACGGTCAGGAGATGGTGGCAGGAGAGGAAGTAACTTGCCAAAGGAAAAGGCACAGAAAGGACTGGATTTCACGTTTTCTAGGTTTCTCAACTACAGTTAAAACCATAGAGCCCCAAGGTTAAACGCAATTCATCTTCCAGTCTCTAATGCCAGGCATTGCTTATATTATTCTGTCTAGTCTGAAAGAAGGTGAAGTCCTGGAGGGTCTTCTCCAAATTCTAATACAGAGGTAACAAAATGGCAGCTCTCAGGCCATATCTGGCCCATTAAAATGTTTTATTTCGGCTCAAGGTTTTTTGTTTGTTTTGTGTAGCCTAAGTTATCCTTGAACTCCTGATATCCCGCCTCCACCTCCCAAGACCTAAGATAACAAACACGAGCCAGCCCTCCTGGATGCCCATATTTTAAAAAAAGAGAAAAGTAAACCAGTCCAAAACATTTAGAGAACAAAAAGACTTTGTACAAAATTTGGGGTTACTGATGTCTCCTTGAAATAAAAACTGGAGCATTGGTTAATACTAATTCCCAGGCCTACATTCCACAGATGGGCCACATGGTTCCCAGGCATGCCGATTTGAATGAGAATCCCTCACATATTTGAATGTGTGGTCTCTAGTTGTTGGAACTGTTTGGGAGGGATTAGGTGTGGTCTTCTAGAAGGTGAGTCACTGGGGGATCAGTTTTGAGGTTTCAAAAGTTCTTACCTATGCTTTAGCTCCATGCCTACCTGCTGCCATGTTCCCCCTCCATCATGGTCATAGACTAACTCTCTAGAACTGTGAGCCTCAAGTTAAATGCTTTTTTTTATTATAAACTGCCCTGATAATAGTGTTTTGTCATGGCAATAGAAAAGTAACTAAGATAACAGGTTACCAAAGCCTTACACTGCCCCAAAGAGCCAATCACAACCTCTCCATTATTGCTTTTCAAATTACTTACTTGGTCACTATAACATTTGCATTTAACAGGTAATTACAAACTTAAGAGATGGGGCTGGAGAAATAGTGGCTGAGAGCACTGGTTGCTCTTCCATGGGACCCAGGTTCAATTCCCAGTACCTACATGGCAGCTCACAACTATATACAGTGATACAAATATATCATTGTTTTCCTGGATCTGATCTTTTCCACACCTGAATTCTATAAAATCCTGGACAATTTTTTCAGAAGTTCCAGGAGATCTGACACCATCATACAGACATACAGGCAGGCAGAACACCAATGTACATGAAATAAAGATAATCATTTTTTAAAACTTTAGAGATAAGAGACTTATCTTGTCCTATATTTTTTTTAATAAATTCCTTCCCAAACTAAGGGAACATTTCCTTCTGACCTGATCAAACCTCCACTATTCAAAAGACTGAAGACAGATACCTTTCAATAAGGCACCTTACCTCTGGAAAACTGGCCATATTCACCAGAATCAACTGTGGTGACTTCATGGAGATCTGGCCAATGTGATTTAAGGCAAGCTTCCCATCAGCAGTTACCACAGTAATATGATCAAGGGATCCTAAAGAAAAAGCAAGAAGGTTTTAGAATTCTAAAAGACTTTAGAAGCCCATATCTCTTTATCTAATTTATCTAAGTTAGATATCTTTATCTAAAATTCAGCAAACACACAGGAATCCCTTCCCAATGTGACGAGGTTGTTCACAGGAGCATTTTCAGGCAGTGGATAGAGTATGCAATGAACCACATTGGAATTCCTTACTAGAACCATTCTGGTTTGCCTGGACTTAAAGCCTTTCCTGTGACATAGGACAGATCATCACTGAACGAAGCCAGGACAGGAACTCAAGCAGGGCAGGAACTTGGAAGCAAGAGCTGATGCAGAGGTCATGGAGGGGTGCTGATTACTGGCTTAGAGAACCCAGGACCACCAGCACAGGAAAAGTACTGCCCACAATGGCTGAGCCCTCCCCCATCAATTACTAATTAAGAAAATGCCCACAGGCTTGCCTACATCCTCATCTTGGAGAGGCATTTTCTCACATGAGGTTCCCGCCTCTCGGATGATTTTAGTTGTGTGGAATTGATATAGTAAACTATCTAGCACAAAGCTGAAACTGAAAAGTACTGATCCTCCTGTCAGTAACTCTGCCACTTACCAGCTACAAGACCACTAAGGAATAAATCACTTACCCTCTCTCTCGGTTTCCAACTCAGCATAAAAATAGCTGCTGCTTACAGAATTAGTGACGACTCCAGCAGTCACTGGAGAAACAGCCAACTACACAACATACCAAAGAACAAGCACTGGAAAGTTAACTCCTCCTGCCCCTCGGTATTATTAATAATAATGCTATTATTATTACCACCACTTTAGAGATGAGAAAATGAAACTTGAGGAAGATAAATGGACCAAGATCAGAGTTATCAAGTGAAAAACGATCAAGAGCCAAGAGTCAAGCTCAAGTGTGCTCCAGTCTGATTTCAGGAAGTCCTTCCCTTCTCTACACAGTTCTGAGCACAGAATCATCAGGGCTTTTGCACCCCCAAATATCCTGATTCTGTTGTAATGTTTTAATTCACCACACAATTCTAGCACATAGCCAGTTTAGAACAAGTTCCTCTTGCCATCCTTGCCTTTGGTCCTGAGACCCCCTTCAGAAACAAGTACCATGCACACACACGCATGCACACAGACACACAGACACACACACGCACCATATATATATATATATATATATATATATATATATATATACACACACACACACACACACACACACACACACACTAAATCTTATCTTTTTCCACACCTGATTTCTGTAAATTCCTGGGCAAATTTTTTCAAGTCAAAAAGGATAAATAAACCCACAGCTCTAGATAGGAAATTCTTCAAAGTCCCTGTTTCCTATGCAAATGAAACCCTTACCACTCACAGTAAGAACCACTCGTGGATGGCTCTTTCTGAGACACAAAGAGAGTGGGGTTGTGGAGGTGGGTGAGGTATCCTTCAAATAAACTAAAGCTATTCTCGAACACAGTGTAGGATTAATGCAGTAAATACCACACTATGACCCAATGACCTGATTTGGAGTACTCAACCAGATTCAGTGTCATCATGACAGACAGGGGTTGACACCACTGGCTTTAACCTGAAAAAGTATTGGAGTATAAAAATAAAAAGTCACCATGATTCTAAAATCCAAATACCTAAATTCAAATACCAGCTCACTGCTTCCAAATTCTAAGCACCTTTTGGGCCTCCATTTCCTGATCTTTAAATAAGACAAAAACTGTACCTCAAGGGCTTTAATGAGGATTAGACTTAAAACTATATTGAAAAGCATTATAACTAAGACCCAATAATGCTGCTATTATTTTTTGGGAAGTTTTGTATTTTAATCAAACTAATATCCTTGCATGTAATTTTCCTTCTATTAGGAATATACTTCTCCTTTTTTTGAAATTATAAAAGCTATTTAATTCACGATAACTTAAAAACAAGAATAAACTTAACTAAGTATAGATGTCTACTTTAAGTATTACGAAACATCCTAGTGGTGGTGGTACACGCCTTTAATCCCAGCACTTGGAAGGCAGAGGTAGGGCAGATCTGTTAGTTAGAGGCCAGTCTGTTCTACAGAGTGAGTTCTAGGACAGTCAGAATTATACAAAGAAACCCTATCTTGAAAAACAAAAACAAACAAAAAAATTAAAAAGCAATGGTTAAAGGAATTGAAAGACTCACAAGATTGGAAATATCTACCACATTCATTGACTAGTTAACATTTTTTAACTGACCACATCACCAAAAGTGATCTACAGAATCAGCCATTGATTGACATAAATTAGTTGACTAAATCACTTTATAATTTTTTTAATGTTTTCTCATCTTTTAAAATTAACTATAATCACTGTGCAGTGGTGGCATATGCCTGTAATCACAGCAGTCAGAGAGGCAGAAGAGCAGGCGGATCTCTGAGTTTGAGGCCAGCCTGATCTACAGAGCGAGTTCCAGGACAGCCAAGGCTACAAAGCAAAACCCTGTCTCGGAAAACAAAACATGAACAAACAATAACAACAACAAAGTAACTATAATCACTTAGCAATTTTAGTTCCAGGTTTCCATACATCAATAAATCAAGCTGAAGAGAACTGGTATCTTAATAACACTGAATCGCTCAACTCATTGAATTTTAGATTCATTAATCATTTCCTCAGTAGCCCTTGAACAAATCATATCTGAAGCTGGGTCTGCTGACTCACTCTCATGACCCTAATATTCGGTAAGCTGAGTGAGCATGGCTGCTATAAAATTCTAGAATGTGATTTTTTTCCTCAATACTTTTATTTTTTTCCTTTTTTTTTTTTTTTTTAGATCCCAATTTCTGATATATATATTTAAAAAAACAGGTTTTACTATGTAGCTTTGGCTGGCCTGGAGCTCACTATGTAGTCTACTATGTGGGATAGTAGATATCCCAGTCTACTTTACTGCGATAATTCTTGCTCCTTCTCTAAAGTCTCGCTGTGGTGGTATCTAATCTCAAAAACCTGTCTGAGGGGGCTGGAGAGATGGCTCAGAGGTTAAGAGCATTGCCTGCTCTTCCAAAGTTCCTGAGTTCAATTCCCAGCAACCACATGGTGGCTCACAATCATCTGTAATGGGGTCTGGTGCCCTCTTCTGGCCTTCGAGCATACACACAGACAGAATATTGTATACATAATAAATAAATAAATATTTTTTTAAAAAAAGAACCTGAGTCCTCAGCTGTATTGCAGACCCTTCTTCTAAGCCCCGACACATTCTAAGTGTAGTCTTAAGTGACTGAATATGTCCTATAAGCAAAGCTCCAGTGCTAATGCTTTTTAATATTACTTGCTTTCATTATCTTATAAGATGATTATTGCTGCCACCATTTTACAGATGAGGAAACTGAGGTAAACAGAATGACTTGCCAACATCATAACAGCTCTTAATAACAGAACTTAAATCCAAGTCTAGGCAAGACCACCTCCAAAGCCAGGCCTCCACTGTTTTGCTGTTAGGTCATTTTTATACGCATCGGTTTACTTGTCTGCCCTTTTATCTGAGGTTCTAAATTCCTGGACATTAGGAACCAGATCTTCCCTCTCCATGTCCATATCTATTACAGTAGTTCTCACTACTACTGTGGCAAACACACAGATGAATGAAGGACAAAGGGGAAGCAGTAGGAAAGAAGAGATCAAACCTGCAACTTAGACAAGTGTTGACAGACATCTGCTGTCTCTGAGACAGACACAGGATGGAAGGCAGTGAAGAAGAAAGTGCTGCTGGTCCAGATAACAGCGAGAAATGATATAGAAGAGCCAGTCTAGCAGAGAGCATGGGCTATGTGTAGTTTGTTTTACCCAGCTTCTTCACATCCTCAAAATTTACACAGAACATTACACAATCTTAGCCCAAGGAAAAGAAGGGGAGATCCAAGGGGAGGTCTGCTGAAGATAGATCTTAGTTCCGCCTCCCTGACTGGCTGTTAAGAGCCTTTGCCACAAAGGCCCCACATGGGCAGTGTGTAGTTGTAATGGTGCCTATCCCTCAATCTTTATCAACATAATGCATCAAACCCTTCCCCTCAATCTGTCCCCAGTGGGAATCTCCCTCAAGCTCACTCCTATCCCTCATTTTCTCAGAGGTTAACAGTTAACAAATTACACTCCCACCCTCTTTCCGAGCCCATCATCTTCATAAGTTCAACAAGAGTGGAACTGGCCGGCTCATTTTAAGTATCACATTTCTCCCTGGGCTTCTCTCAAGCTGCTCTCTGGTTTCGGCTGCAGAATGTTAACAGGCAGAAAGCACAGGGGAGACAGAGCACTTTATCAGTTTCATACCTAAAATAATAAGCAAGCTTAAAATAAACAGTTGGGAAAGATTGAATGGCACGCTTTACTGTCAGCAAAGGCAGAAACACTCCAGCACAAAGGTTAACAAATGCCAGGAACTGCCTTCTAGTCTCACACCAGATCGCATCTTTGAACTCAACGTGGTTCTGATCATTTTTATAATGAACTGAGTACTTTTCAGAAACAAGTTCATGAAATGTCTTCTATTTTCCTTACAAACCTCCCCAATCAAAACATGAGTGGGAGAGGCTGAAGTTCCCAAAGACACCTTCAGAGGGGGTCTCAGACTTAACTATAGGATGATGACAACTTGCAAAAGGCCAATTTAACAGCAATTGGATTTTTCCTGCCCGCTTGCACCATTAGCTGACAGCCCACTTTCTCTATCACATCTGCAAACAGTTCTCCTAGACAGTTCTGACGTTTCCCACTTAGAAAGGCCACTTTTAGGAAGCTATTAACCTAAACGGAATCTTCCTGGTAAGCTCATGGGCAGAAAGGCCTCAGGTGGGCAAGTCTGCAAAATTTGGTTTACAGTGCTGGATAAGAACTGCCAAATAGGGCAAACTAGAAAAAGCAGACTAAGGACATAGAACTATGAGGCTAGATACCCCACATATGTTTTTTTTGTATCCACAAAAAAACTACTTTGTGAGAGTGTAATTCCACAAGCACTGATCATGACAGGCTTTGCTTACTGTTATGCTGGTTCTCTGCGGGCCAAGCACAGTGCTACTCCACGGGAGACAGTCACTTAATGGACACAAGCAGCACGATTCCAGAACCATGATACAGTTAACTCACTTACATTCTACAGCAGGAACTGGACAAGGAAACTCCTCAGTTACAGAAAAGTAACTGCTCATAAACACCAGTTAGTGGTGCCAAAGCTGGGGTGGCATGGTGACACCCCATGCTCTTTCCCACTGTAACACTCCCTGAAACACGGGTTTAACCACTAACCTGGTGCAGTCCTTATGTTGAGAGTCTTATTGAAATTATCCTGGAGAGCTTCCGTCACAGATTTCATTTCTTCATCCACCTCCTCCAAGTTGATTATATCCTCCACCAAGGCTGTGTTAATATTCACCCTGGCCTGGGGCTGTCCTTTCCCTTTAGCTAAAAAGCGAACATACAGTGAGCAGAAGAATAGAAGCATACACAGAAACAACAAGCATTGGCTTTTTCTTAAGTGCCTTTGTGTACAGGGCACTATCAAGTGCTAGAAGTTTATAAGAGCATTTCTGCCCTCCACAAACGCTCACATCTACTGAGTGTCAGCTAGCTCCCAAGTCTGTGCTAAAAGACTTAGCTACTACGAAGGCCATAGGCTTTATAATTAGACACTCGGGACTACACATGCTGCAGTGCATGTGGGCTGTATGACCTTGGGCAAGTTATTCTGTTTGTAAGTATTAGATTCTCCACTTTTAAGAGGACTAATCGGTATTATAAGGCTGTTACAGGAATAAAAGGAAGCCACTTACATAGCCAAAAGAGTACTCTACATATCCATGGGATCCAGAAATAAATTAATAGCTTAGTTTTCAGAAAAATGGAACATCAGAAAGGTAAAGTGACTTGCCTAATGTCACAGGTCAGGAAATGGTCAAGTCAAGATTTGGTCCCAGAGCTGTCTAATTTTAAGCCCATGAACTTTTCATAAGACAATCTCCACAAATCTAATGGAGAGAAAGGAAACATATTAATTCAGTTTCAAATGCATACTCCGACAAGATGAAAGAGACGATCATGAACCAGGAAAACAGCAAACCACAGACACAAGTGTGCATTGGTAGGAAAGGAACTGCTTGCAGAAAGAAGACGATCACGAACCAGGAAAAACTGTAAACTGCAGGCACAAGTGCGCAGAAAGAAGGGGTTCACAGAACGGCCACAGCAGATGATAAAACTGCAGTTCTCCTTAAAGAAGTTAGGGGTGAACAATATCTCTGGTACTGAAGAGGTGAACATGTTTACAAACCAAGGAACAGTGATCCATTTTAACAACTCCAAAGTTCAGGCGTCTCTGGCAGCAAACACCTTCACCGTTACAGGCCACGCTGAGACCAAACAAATGACAGAAATGCTTCCCAGCATTCTAAACCAGCTTGGGGCAGACAGTCTGACTAGTTTAAGGCGACTGGCTGAAGCTCTGCCCAGACAATCTGTGGTAGAAGAGCACCACTTGCTACTGAGAGGATGATAATGAAGTCCCAGATCTGGTGGAGAATGTTGATGACGCTTCTAGAAATGGGGGGAACTGAGTGAAGGCACCTTCTGAAGAAGTGCGCTACTGTTTTATATCATGGCTGCTTTTTAAAGGTCTTTTGTTTATGGATCTGATCAAATCAAGAGTGCTAATATTTTTTAGGCCCAAATCCCTTGTTCACTGCAGCTCTTTTCAGTTTTTGCTTAAACACAATTCATTCTTTGCAGTAAATTAAGCTGAATAAGCCTAGGACTAAAGTTCAGGAAAAGGTTAATAAAATTCTTTGCGTAGTAACAAACAAAAAAGAAGTTGCTAGTACCTTTTTAAAAAGCTCAAGGAGCCGGGCGATGGTGGCACACGCCTTTAATCCCAGCACTCGGAGGCAGAGGCAGGAGGATCTCTGTGAGTTCGAGACCAGCTTGGTCTACAGAGCGAGTTCCAGGACAGGCTCCAAAGCCACAGAGAAACCCTGTCTCGAAAAACCAAAAAATAAAAAAAATACAAATAAAAAAAAAATAAAAAGCTCAAGGATTAGATATACTTACTTAAAAGGGAAGATGAAAAATAGAAAGGAAACATTCTTTACATCAACATATAAGAAGTGTTCTCTAGGGGCTGGAGAGATGGCTCAGAGGTTAAGAGAGAGCACTACATGCTTTTCCAGAAGTCCTGAGTTCAATTCCCAGCAACCACATGGTGGCTCACAACTATCTATAATGAGATCTGGTGCCCTCTTCTGGCTTGCAAGCATAAAGCAGGCAGAACACTGTATACATAAATAAATCTTTAAAAAAAAATAATTCCCTCTAAAGTCAAGAAAAAAAAGGAATGCCCGTTATCACCAATCATACTTACTCAGATTAGACTAGAGTGCAGGGAAGGAGAGTACTGGGGTAATGGGATGAATGTGCAGGCATATGCCACAAAGAAAATTAATTCCATGTGAGTTTCTTCCCTGAAGTAGACTGGTGCTGCCAAGAGCAGACAATACCTCATTGTCATAAAAAAAAAAAAAGTACCTATGTTATTAAACCATCTTTTTTTTTTTTTTTTGGTTTTTCGAGACACGATTTCTCTGTGGTTTTGGAGCCTGTCCTGGAACTAGCTCTTGTAGACCAGGCTGGTCTCGAACTCACAGAGATCCGCCTGCCTCTGCCTCCCGAGTGCTGGGATTAAAGGCGTGCGCCACCACCGCCCGGCCTTATTAAACCATCTTAAATGCCATTTTCTGTAGACCTCTAAAGTCTTTGAAGATGACCTGCTTATCTAAAATATACCTTTGTTTGACCTTGAAAACTTATCTAAAGTGATATCATTTGTTGTCTAGTCTCTGCTGCTGGGAAAGTTCAGGGCTTGTCAAGTAATCTGTGAGGCTGGATCATCTCAAATAGCCACCTTGAAATTGTTCTGAACAATTCCTAATTTTGGGGATATTCTCTTTTGGGAAGTTACATCTGATCAAATGAAAAGCATTTGTTAGTTTTATAAGTTAGTTTAGATTAAATGATCATGCAGTTTGATGAACTATCATCTCTTCTAAGTAAGAGGTGTCTCTTGTTCAACTCAAATCTTTATCAATTTTGATGGTATCCATGGCTTTTCTTCTCCTGTGGAAACAAAAGCAAAACCCCTTCACCAACGTGACACATGTCCTGGTTTCCAATCTGAGGTCAGTATATCTTTAAAGTATATCAGTTGATTTAACTCTGTAGATTTTGTCTATTATCCAATGTCTCTCTGCAGCTGTTATTCCTTTCTCATCAGCATTTAGAAACTTCAAAGTTAGTAAAGCAATCTATTTCTGAGGGTATTTATTATCCCTTTCTGTTTATTTAACATATCCTTTAGATATGTTATCTTTCTATAACTGCCTGGCCTGTAGGAGTGTGTTGTGTGCCTGCAATATGCTTTATATTATAAGGAAAACAGTTTCATTTTCACAGAGACATATGCTGGGACATTGTCTGTCTTTATTTGTACAGGTGTACCACATGATGGCCATAACTTTTAGCAAACGTGTGAGTACCGAAACAATGTTTTCCAAACTCAAAGCAGCTGCCCTCTGAAAACCATAATGAGTATCAATTGTGTGGTGAACATACTTAGTTTTCCAAATTTTACAAAATGGAGCACATCTATCTACCAGATTTTATTCCTTTGAGTACCCTTTGGGTTATTTCTTGCATGTAGTGGTGTGTGGCTGTATAAGGAGCAAAAAGGACATTTCCTTATAATCTCCTTGACTTGTTGCCATGTGATACAAAAGTCTTTTTTAACCTTTGCTATTGGCATGATGTTTTTATGAAATTCTGAGGCCTCCAGAACATTTCTAATCAATAACTAACCAATTTCTACATTATCTTGTGCTACAAGAACTAGCAGACTCGTATGGCATCAGATGTGTGTTATGTATATTGGATGATTCCTATTCCTAATTGTTATCTTGTAACTGAATAAATAATAAAGTCAATTCTGTCTCATCTGGTATAAATTCAGCAGTTTCAATATGCAAAGCAACTCTTCCTACATATTGCAAATCTATAACTATGTTGAGGGGTTCTTTGAAATCCCTTAGCATGAGAATAGCATATAGTTCTGACTTTTGGACAGAATCATAAGGGTTTTGATCCACTTTACTTAAATTTTCTGATTTTAACCTGCCTTTCCTGATTTGTATCAGTAAAGAATATACGGATTCAGTTATTGGTGTGTCCCATAAAATGATGAGAAGGATCCAATTAGCTCTCTTTATAAGTCAAATTCTCTCACTTTGGGGATAGTTGCTGTTAATCTCTCCCCCCAAAAAATTACTACAAGCTCTTTGCCAATGTTCACTTTCTTTCCATTAATGATTAATACCATCACTATTAAAAGGTATAAATTATAATTTTGCTGGGTCTATTCCTAATTGATAAAGTCTCAATTTTCCTTTTAGAATTAACTCAGAGACCTTTTCCACATACACTTTTAATTTTTTACTCCAAGTATGTGGTAAAAAGATACACTCTAAGGTAATAACTTCCTTCTGCATTAAAGTTCCTGTAGGGGAATTCCTGGAAAGTAATATGACCAGAATGAAGTTAAGACTCAGATCCATACAATACACTTATTTCTCTTCCACCAAAGTCAATTCTCTCTCAGCTTCAGCTGACAATTTTCTGAACTATTAAAGTCCTTTTCACCACCTAAGGTTTTGTTTAAGTTAATCAGGTCATCAGGACCTATCCCAATAGGAAATATCTCCTAGCAATCTTTGGAAGTCATTAAGAGTTTGCAATTGATCTCTCCTAATTTGTACCTTTTGGTGTCTTAACTTTTTGTAAGCCTATTTTATAGCCTAAATAATTAATAGAATCTCCTCTTTGCATTTTTCAGGAGCAATTTGTAATCCCTAAGAAGACAAATTTTTCTTTACTTCTTTAAATATTCTTTTAACATATCTACATTTGAATCAGATAGTAAAATGTCATTGATATAATAATGGTAAAGTATAGACTAATGAAATTGCATACATATCATTTCCAATGGCTGCCCTACAAAATATTGGCACAGGATGGGGCTATTAAGCATTCCCTGTAAGAGAACCTTCCATTGTTATCTCTTAGCAGGCTGAGAATTATTATAAGTAGGTACTGTGAAGGCAAATTCTTCTCTGTCCTTTTCTTTTAAAGGTATAATAAAGAAATAACCGTTTAAATCAATAACTATAAGAGGCCATTCTTTAGGCAATAGAGAAGGCAGAGGAATGCCAGACTATAGAGAGCCCATTAACTAAATCACCTTTAATTATTTATTAACAGTTCTTAGATGTTTCCATTCTTCATTTTCCAGATTTCCTTTTAACAACAAATACAGGAGAATCCCAAGGGCTGGTTGATTCCTCAATATGCTGAGCATCTGGTTGCTCCTGTATCCGCTGTTCTAGAGCCTGCAGTTTCTCTAGTGTTAAAAGCCATTGCTTAACCCATACAGGTTTGTCTGTCAACCATTTTAAAGGTAGGGCTGTCGGTGCCTTTGAAATATTAGCAGCTGCTGTGTCCTGTTCTTGTACAACCTGAATGGTTGGTGACTGTTCTCTATAATATTTTGTAATATTTTCCCCAAAAATCATACATTAATTTTTCGTTTGTTTATAAGACTAGAGGAATGTTAATCTGAGTATTCCATTGCTGTAACAAATCACATTCCCATAGATTCATTGCTATATTAGCCACATATGGTTTTAATAATCCTATCTGTCCTTCTGGCCCTATACATTTGATCCATCTCGCACTCTGCTTTATCTGAGATGAAGCTCTGATCCCTAAAAACTGAACATTTACATCCTGAGGAGGCTAATTTGGATGCTAAGATTTGATGAAATTATTGTTATATCCACACCTGTGTCTATCAGACCTTCAATGGTAACATCACTTATTCATATTTTTAAATTTGGTTTTGTTCACTTATAGAAGTTTGCCAAAATACTCACTTTATGATTCTTCCTAAATTTTTTGTTCTCTCTTCTATAGTTGTTCTATTATACAGAGCAGTACGGTTTCTTACAACAGGCATTAGGTTCTTTAATTGCTCTGAAAAGAAGTTTCCTCTATGATGGAAGAAAACAACTGGACCGGATTTGCTATACAGGCCTGCAAGACGCTCCTCACAGAGTTTCCCTACAGCAAAGGATTACCCTGAATATTCCTCATTGATCTACATTTATTAGTCCAATCCCTGCATTTTCTGCACCTTCTGCATAATCCAGAAGGGAGGGGCATTCTGAAGGGATTATGCTTAGAAATTCAATTATTATTGGTCTAGCTTCTTAATTTGGCATCTTTCTATTTACTGCTGATGTCAATCTTTATAAGAAATATATAAAGGCTTTCTTTGGGCCCTATATAACTTTAGTAAATGACTCAATTTTTGTTCCTATTTCTCCAGTTCTGTCGCAAGCATTCAAATCTGCTGTGTGGCATAAATCCAGGGTGTGGTCATCACATACAGCTTGCCTTTCTGTAATAGCATAATCTCCTTCTCCAAGAATTTGATCTTGGGAGATTTCTTTACTCTGTTGTTCAATAATCTTAGCCTGTTCTCTGAACCAGGTACTCCATTGTACTTGTAGACCAGGCTCTAAGTCTTTAGGGATAATTAATTCTATTACAAACTAGCCACAAATTTAACATTTGCTTCACAAAAGGTGAATGCATGCCATATGACTATTGCTTCCCTGAATCTCCTTAAATCTAACATTGACAGAGGAGTCCACTTAACTGTAACAGAGCCTCTGCCATTTGGTAATTCATGTAAGGTTACTGGATATATTTAAGTTGGTTGTTTGAAAACCAGGCTGTTTCTCTCTATTCTTATAATGCAATGCTAAAATTGGTTCTTCATTAAATTCTGTCTGGATTTAAATCTGTGATCTGTTTTATTAGGTTTTTCTGGGGCCTATATCAGATTAACCAACTTTCTTAGTGATATGACAAAAATGATAAAGCTGACAACAATGTTTACAATTGGCATTACATAAATCCCATCTAAATTAGATATCCTTTCATTTAATTGTTCCATTTTCAAACTGTCCAGCATATTATTATACAGAGACCCAAATCCCTCCAGAAAAACCCTGTCTCAACAAACCAAAAAAAAAAAAAAAAAAAAAAGATTCCTGATTGTCTTATACTATCTACCTATGATATTGGGGAAGATGTGAGACTGACTGTTCCTGCGTAGAGCAGTAAAAGCCTGACTGGATTCCAAAGCAGCTACCTAGTTTGGCAGTAGTCCAAGAAGGGGGTTCAAGAAGAGCCAGCAACCCACAGCAGAGAGAGGGAGGAGGGGGCTATCTGAAAAACACACAGGATTGTTCGGAAAAAGCACGTGTGGTGGGGGCCACCTGAAGGCAGAACTAGGCAGTCTAGGGTGGGTGTGTCCTGTGGCCTCTGGAGCCCAGGAGCTCCTGGAGTTTGGGTGGCAGCTGGAAACTGTTTCAGAGAGGCTACAACAGGAAAATCCCAAACTTACTCATGGGCTTGGGGAAAAAAGAAAAGAAAGCCCATTTGGGTGGAGCTAGAGCCCCACAGGCAGCTAAAAAGTTATAGGCAAACTGCTTTTTCGTGAATCTGTACCCCAAACGTTGGGCACCAAATGTAGTACGAATAATAAAAACCCAGAGACAGATATTGCTGTTCATCTGAGATCAGAAAAGCAAAGCAGCCACGTCACTAGAGAGCTCGTACCTCTATGAAATCTTCAGATTGAAAAGTGGTGCGAAAGAATTGTCTGTATTCTGTCAATCATGTTTTAAATAAACACTGATTGGCCAGGCAGGAAGTATAGGCAGGTCAACCAGACAGGAAGTAGAGGCGGGGCAATGAGAACAGGAGAATGCTAGGAAGGAGGAAGCCCATTCCTCCCATTCCTGCACAGACCACCGAGAAGCTAGATGTAATCTGCCCAACTGTGAAAGGTACTGAGCCAAGTGGCTAGCATAGATAAGAACAATGGGTTAATATAAGTTACAAGAGTTAACAAGAAGCCTGAGCTAATGGGCCAATCAGTTTTATAACTTATGGAGATCTCTGTGTGATCTTCTTTGGGACTTGCTGGCTGTGGGGTACCGGGTGGGACAGAAAACCCAACAAGCAGGCCCCTTCATGTTATAGAAAAGAGAACAAATTCCTGTGTCATCCCGCCTTATATTCCTCTCCAGTGCTGGAATTAAAGGCCTGCACCACTGCCCAGTCTCTATGGCTAACTAGTGTGGCTGTTGGGATTAAAGGTGTGTGCTACCACTGTCTGACCTGTATGGATAACTAGTGTGGCTGTTTTGTGTTTTGATCTGCAAGCAAGCTTTATTTATTAAAATACACATGAAATATCACTACAGTATCCTATTGTAGAATGACTCCAAGGAATCTAAGAGAATGAAAACAGTCAACTCTTTGAGGAGCAACCACAAAGAAGAAGCTCCTGCTTGCAGGCCATAGTGAGCATCTAGAAGACTCTGACAGCACAGCATCAGAATCCCCAGGTTTCCTCTTCTTCCTCTATCTGGAGGAACAACTATATCCTGACTTCTATATTTTCAACTTGTTAACATGTATATTTATTAGGTAATTGTAAGGATTTCTTCACTGGAAAATTATAATTGTTTTCAATAGATAATGCTAAGGATTGGATTAGAAAACTTTAAAAATAACATACAAATCCAACATTAACAAGATAAGTCTTCTAAGGGTTAATTTTCTTTCAGCAGTGTGTTAATCTTTCTTTCAATAAAAGCAGATCTGTGTGAAAGCAGAAAAGGAAAGTCCCAGTGGAAACACTCAGCAGCACATTCTAGCACCACCAGGGACAGCAGGACTCCTGACCCACCCCAAACAGCAGGTTTGCCTCATCGTCCTCTGTCATCCATTTCCCCAACCAAGTTTCTGAAAATCTAATTACATCAATATAGCCCTAGAGAGCGCTAAACAACAAAGAGAGAGATGATCATCATGGCAGGCAGCTAACGAACAATAATCAATTTTACAACTGATTAATTAATTACTGCAGTTCTAAGTGTGTCAAGAGTAAAATAATAGTGTACATGACTTCATGGAACAGGGGACCTGACCCAGGCTCAGGCCAAGGAAGGCATCCCTGAGGAAGTGGCATTTAAGCTAAGACCTGCGGAACATCAAAATCTCATTCTTGGATGACATAAGCCATTAAGATCATCCATCTAAACCCGTGGCTCTAATGCCCTGTCACCCAAAACCCTTCTGGCTTTAATTATACCCTCAATTCAAATCTTCCTAAAGAATGAGTGTATGCTGATCCCTGCCACAAGCACTCCGGTGGGCTTGATACTTTTACCTCTAGTTTTGTATCTAAATGAAATAAAGTAGGTATTTTATGAGCCTACAAGAAATAAATGAGGTATAATGGTAACAAAACAAGCCCTAGGCTCAACAAATCTCTGAGATCTCTTAAATGCAAGAAAGGGCTGAGAGGGGAGGGAAGTCACCTACCTTTAGCTTTCTTGGTTGCAAACTGGCGAACTGGCATGGCTGGGTAGGCTAAGAATTGCCTTTGGTCATGTTGTCTTCCATGCACAGGCTTCATGGAAATTTCTGAAGCAGGTCTGGTTAAAGTAGTAAGGTAAGTGCAAAAGGCAGGGTGCAACAGGCGGAGGCACTTTATTCCCAAGGCCATGATGAAAGAGAATCCACAGAAACAGCCACTAAAAGGAATGAGACAAAAGATCTCAATAAAAGAAAACCCATAGCAACTTTCAAAACCAATTCATGCCAACTACCAAACAAGTCCTCTAACTGAGCCATCAACTCATACATTGCCTCAAAAAGAACTATTATCCTCATCTTACAGGAGGAAGAAACTGGTGTTCAGAGACTTGAGCGACCCACCCAGACTGTGGAGTTCTTTCCCGTGCATCTAAATGTCTGTTAAGCAAATGTGCAGCAGCCCAAATCTATGATGATGTTAATTAAGCCCTTATATGAGCAAAAGCACAAACCCTTGATAAAGTTTAAAGAGGAAAGGCAGAGCACTAGAAGGGACTATAAGTAAGAAAAACATTTTAATAGGCATAAAATGACTGGAAAATTTACATGGCAGCATTTAATTAAAATTTTCTTTGGTTCCTTATGCACTGATTACCAATTAGAATCCACTTTAATTTGAGTCTGAAGTATGATTGAGGTTTGAGGTCTTCCACGGTCTAGAACTAGGAAATGCCAACATCCATTGAATTAACACAAGTTATACACATTTCTGAGGTCTCTGACCATACGAAGAGGCCATTGCTTCTTCTGAGATAGAACACAGTCCTAGCCAACAAATATCACACTAAGAGCTTCTGCCAAGAATCTGGTTATTACTTAGCTAAAAATTAAGAACAATTAGTACCAAGTGTCTGGAAGCACTATCTTTGGAAATCACATCTCATTAAAAAAAAAAACAAACTGCTAAAGTGTTGATGCAGCATAACGCAATACACAAGAGCAGGCACTCTGCAGTACGAAGACATAAAACCCAATCCCAGCTCCACCGTTTACTAAATAAGAACTGCTGAGTTTTCACTAGCTCTTCTGTAAAATGGGACTGGTACTTATGTCTTCCAGTTGGGAATAATGAGGCTCGGCAGGTAAAACACTTGACATGGTGTCTACTAGGTAATAGGGAAATAAAAAAATACTTATTGATTGTTACGAATTTTCATTTCAAGAACGTCTGTGCTAGGGTCAGATATGATGAGTACACTTGTACATGTCAGAACTTTCAGTCAGATGTGGATGTAAATTTCTCTCTGGGGTAACTCATCCTTTCCCTATCAGTGAGAAAGATAGGCCTCACTTGAAAATGAAACACCGAGTACACATTAAACATCCAGCACGGTACCTGGCACACGTAACTGCTCAAGGTGTGCAACTATTATTAACTATTTTACCAGCATTACTTTTTCTAATGAAAAGAAAATGAGCAACACACAATGCCACATGTGGTGAGGCATGCCTACAATTCTTGCAGTTAGGAGTTCAAGGTCCATCCTCAGTCGAACAGCAAACTGGAGGCTAGCTCAAGCTAGATGAGAGCCTGTCTTTTAAAACATGCAAAAAAGAAATGAAATGAATAAAGGAAAGGCAAACAATTCCTTCTGATGGGATTTTTAACAAGTTCTTCTGGACAGCAGCAATCAGCGTGCCAGGTCTACATAAATGCAGGCCTGGCCTGCTTGTTTTACTCATATTAGTTCATTTCCTCCTGTCAATAGTGCCACAGATAAACATTATAGTCCACTTTGGAGACGCTGAAACTGAGGCTCAGAGAGATGAAGGCCCTGCCCACGACTGTAGAACTAATAATAGTTTAATACCACTTAAGAACCATTCACAAAAGTTTGGCTCTGAGTGACATTTCTAAAGCTCAGTTTCTACCTAATATAGCAATGCCCAACTCAAATTTATATCCAAATATGGCTGTAAAATAATGTGCAGTTTAGGTTTTTGTAATTGACAGGGTCTCAATCTGGCTACAGTGTGTATGACAGGTTTCCTGGAGTTCCTGTTGTGGGTCATAATACCAAGCCACAAAGCAACAGGAAACTAAAATGGGTTAGAAATAAACAACCTTTGACAGAAAATTCAGCATCAAGAATCAGGCCCAATACATGTGAACCGGAAGACAATTCTATAAATAAACCACATTGCTTTATGCTTGAAGCATTCGTTTCAATTGCATAGAAGTCAGGGAATTAATTTCACAGTGGAAGTTCAATAAAGCAATCGGGTGGGTCTCTAACCTTAGAAACATGAACACTCAGGTCAGTATATGAAGCATTAAAACTATAAAGAAGAAACTTCCTATGAGAGAGCTCAAGTATGTTCCAGATACATTAATGCACTCACAAGAGAATCTGTTTCCCCACTACCTGTGTGACCTTGAATAAGTCCATCTTTCTCAGCAACATCTTCTACCACATCTTTTTCACTTTAAATAACTAATACTTTTAGCTGGGTGGTTGTGGCACATGCCTTTAATCCCAGCATTCAGGAGGCAGAGGCAGGTGGGTCTCTGTAAGTTCGAGGCCAGACTGGTCTACAAAGCAAGTTCCAGGACAGCTAGGACTGTTACACAATAAAACAGCATCTAAAGAAAAAAAAGACCTAGTATTTTTTAATAATAATTTATTTTTTATGTGCATTGGTGTTTTGCCTTCATGTATGTCTCTGTTGAGGATGTCAGATCCCCTGGAACTGGAGTTACAAACAGTTGTGAGCTGCCATGTGGGTGCTGGGAATTGAACACAGGTCCTGATAGAGCAATCAGTGCTCTTGACCACTGAGCCATCTCTCCAGTCCCCCAAATAACTAATAAACTAATATTTTAATATTATGTTTTGTTTACTCTTTAAGAGTTTCACACACTTACAAACCTACATCCTGGCTTGCCCATTGTCCTAGCAACTCTTTCCAACCAGCTGTGTATTGTGCATTGATATGCAACATATATTTAATGTTTGAACACGTTGATCGTGCTGGTAAGCAGCTGGAAGATCTTGTATATGATTTTTCCCATCTTATTGTATTTGGTTATCACATACATTTTACAAAATAAACTGATCTTTCATTTCCTCATGAGTTTTTTTCTGTTCTTAAGTTTTCAAATATTTCAAATAAGGATGCTGGAGAGATGGCTTGAAGGCTAAGAACACTGGCTATTCTAACACAGGATCTGAATTCGATTCTTAGCACCCACATGGTAGCTCACAACCATCTATATAACTTCAGTTCTAGGAGATTCAACACCCTCTTCTGGCCTCCACAAGCACTAGGCACATATATACATATAAGCAAAATACCCATAGACATAATTTCTTTCTTTCTTTTCTTTTCCTTTTTTTTTTTTCTTTTTTTTAGTTTTCCAAGACAGGATTTCTTTGTGTAGCACTGACTGTCCTGGAACTGTCTCTGTAGACCAGGCTGGCCTTGAATTCACAGAGATCCACCAGACTCTGTCTCCCAAGTGCTGAGATTACACCACCCTCCATCCCCCCACCCCGCTCAATAAAACATTTTTTTAAAGTCATTAAATAAGCTCAGTATGGTCTCCCCTTATCTCTTTACCATCTGCTTTTCCTTAGATTTCACCTTAACCATCAGTCTGTCAGAGCACAGGGTCAGTGGCCACCTCTTCCAACTAGGTCCTATTTCCTGAAATCCAGTTTTCATACCCATACTCCATCACAGCACTTAGTTTTTAACAATAAAAGTAAATAATTGTGTAATTATTTGATCCTTGCCTAAGTATCTCTATATGGCTGTTGGCACTATGTGGCCTATTCTAGCAGACTAATCTATCTACTAATCTAACGTTCACTACTGCACCCTTTACTTAAGGTTGTACAGGAACACAAACATCATACAAACGTGGTAAGTATGGTAACAGACTTCCAGAAAGATTAAATCCTTGCCCAACATCAAAATGCCGGCATCAGAGTTGGAATCTACACTTTTGATGGCCGGTCCTGGGATCTACTTCTCAACACTGCCCCCATTAGCCATGGTTTTTCCAGGTCTCTGTTTGGAATAGGGTTGCTCTTTTTCAAATTCAGTATCATGTAAAGAAGGGTATTTGTAATATTTGACTCAGAACAGCACCTGACTGCCCTTGGCACAAGCCAAAGAGGAATGATAAAATTTTCCCAAGCGGACAAAAGACTTAACCTAAAGATTAGATTACCAGACTTCAATATCCCCACTCCATCCCCATCACATGTATCTTCTGGATTCACAACCAGCCATGTTCAAAAGGCATATATCACAGCTCTTCCAAAGAGTGCACTGTAGCAAATCATTTCTCCTAGCTTGGATTTCTTTCCTCAGCCATTCCCCAATGAACCAGAGGCTTCCAGCCTTTCCAACTACAAGTTCCCCAAAATTCAGAGAACTACAACAGAATGCGCACTTCCTTCCCTTACAGGGAAGACTGTGTGCTCCAGGCTGAACCCTCGCACACTATAGAAAATGTAAAGGCCAAGATTCAGGATAAGGAGGGAATTCCCCCTGATCCACAGAGGTTGATTATGCCATTAAACAGCTGGAAGATGGCCATACTTTGTCTGACTAGAACATTCAAAAGGAGACTTTCTTACACCACTCCCAAGAATAATAAGCATAGAGAAAGAAGGTCGAGTTGGCTGTGGCAAAATACTGTAAGGTGGATGGAAATGGCAAAATTAGTTAACTTCGTCAAGTGTCCTTTTGGTGAACATGGTGCTGGGGTTTTCAAGGCTAGCCACTTTGACAGACAACACTGTGGCAAGTGTCTGACTTACCAAACCAGAAGACAAGTACTCGTGTATGAGTTAATAAAAAGTCAGGAACTGAGAAAAAAAAAAGAAAGAAAAAGGAGGGAAGAAAGAGTACCCAACTCTCAGATGGCCTAGGCAAGAGTCCTGCTTCTAGCACTTTCTAAGTAAGTGTTCTCAATCTCATCAGTAAATTTGCCACAGCAGTGGAAATGTTGAAGCACCATTGAAATGACAACTGTTTGCCCACAGGCCAGCAGCAGAGTGACGATTTTTAAAATCCCAGGCGTTCGACTCAAGCCTGGGTGGCATTTAAACTTGGGAGCCGCGAAAAGATAGGGCTGAGTTTTCATTTCTACATCACTGGGAATAATTATTATCTCTGCGCGTAGGGCTGTTCGGAAGAGGCAATATTCCTGTCGGGTGACGTCCTAAATATCAGGAAGTATTTACCACATTCCCCTGCAAGGCTCTAAAGGAGGGATGAGAGACACGCGCCCCGCCCCCACCCTTGAGAGGGTAGAGGGACCAGAAGTCCCGCCCCTGGCCTTAAGGTCGAGCCGAACTCTGCTGAACCTGTCGCGGGCGGTAGCCTGGCCCCAGAGGTCCCTCCGAGGTTCTTGAAAAGGTGTCAATGGCACCTGACCCCTCCTGCGCCTCAAGACCGCTTCGAGGCCACTCACCAGCTACAGCCTGGATTATACAGAACCACGCGCGACAGAGGCGGCGCGGACGTCGTGACGTCACGGGAGGCGCGGCGGCGCAGACGTAGCGCGTCACGGGCGGCCGAGAGGCAATCGGGGTTTCAGCTGCCGTGTCCTCGCGTCCCTCGCTCGGACCCCGGCGTCGGAAGCTGCTCTCGGGGCATGAGCTGAGGGCACAGCTCCGAGACTAGCAGGTGAGTACCCGAAGCTCAACGCCAAGCTGGCGGCAGGGACGTTGGTGGAGATTGCCCTCACCTGCGGGCTTCTAGGCCCCGCCCCGGATTGTCCTGTTCCTCGCCCGGAAATAACAATCCCATTAGTGACCTTTCGGAGCCTCGAGTCGGGAAACCCTGGTTCCTGGCCTGACCCTGCTGTTAGCGTGTAGGAATAAACGACCCATTTCCCCTCCTGGCTTCTAGTGTTGATACAACTGAACTGGGAGAGATCTGGAGAGGCTTTTTATGAACTGTTACTCTAAGGAGTTGTCGCCATTGCAAACCCCCAAAGATCTGATAGTTTCATACTACCTTATTAGATGTCACTGGTTTTCAAAATTCCACGAGTGAGCTGTCACATGCATATTCTTATTTAAAATAGCTACGTGATATAGGAATAATTTCCCCCATTTTGGAAGATAACTGATGATGTTTCCTTCATTCTCTAAGAAAACAGTACCAACTCTAAGCCAGGCAGTGCACTCACTACCTGCTGGTCATAGAACCATTATCAAGGCTGGCAAGGCCCTGCGCTGTATGAGACACAAGCAAAATGTAAATAATACGTTGTATTCACATTATATGGGAAGGGGAGTGGCAGAGACAGAGGAAGTGAGGGAGATACTGTTGCATACTAAAGGCACAGTAATTGGGAAGGTCAATTTTGAATCCAGATCTCTCTAGTTCCGAGTCTTGTATTCTTCCAATTGAAACATGGCATCTTTGGCATTAAGTATCTTTTGGTGTTACTGTTGCTTTTAGACCTGAGAACTCAGAAGTTCTAGCTTTTAAATCTAACTCCACTCACTCTAAAGTAGTGCAACCCTAAGTCTCTTGACCCTTCTCACTGTTTACAGTATCTGTCTTTAATTACTTCAATCTTTTGCTTTGTTAAAAATTTAGTTCTGCTCCCCTTTTAAATATAAGCATTCTGAGGACGGGGACAGTTTCCTACAGGGCTGAGCTGAGGCACTTCTAGATATAGAAGTCACATGGCTTTTTTCTAGCAAAGAGGTCTGAAGTCTGGTAGATTTATCTACTGTATGTGCATGAGTCTTTTGCCTGCATCTATGTATGTGCACCACATGTATACAGTGACTGCAGAAGTCAGACGAAGGCATCTCATCTTCTGGAAGTGACATTAGAAATGACTGTGAGCCACCAAGTGGGTGCTGGGAACTGAAGTCCTCAGTCTTCTGCAAGAGCAATATGTACTCTTAACTGCTGAGCCATTTCTCCAGCCTCTTTTTTTTTTTTTGATTTTTCGAGACAGGGTTTCTCCGTAGCTTTTGGTTCCTGTCCTGGAACTAGCTCTGTAGACCAGGCTGGCCTCGAACTCACAGAGATCCGCCTGCCTCTGCCTCCCGAGTGCTGGGATTAAAGGCGTGCGCCACCACCGCCCGGCTCTCCAGCCTCTTAAAGTTTATATTAAAACATGAAGAAACTGGGCCAGCAAGATGGGTTAGCTGGTGCGTGAGCTTCCCATAGATGCCTGACAACCTGAGTTCCTTCCCTAGGACCCAAGCAAAAGCGGAGGGAAGGAGAGAACCAACTTTTGAAAGTTGTCTTCTGACCTCTACCTATGCTAAATGATATGTGCATGCCCACCCCCACCCCAGGATAATAGAGTAAATAATTAGAATGAGAAAACTGAGGCACCCAGAAAAATAACTTCAGTGGAACTGGAACAATTTAAGGTCGGGTCTTCTGGCACCAGGCTCTCTGTTCTTTCCATCACTGCCTCTGTCACAGCTGTCATTCTCCTGCTCTGTGAGATGGGACACTTCAAGAATTAAGACAATAATAATTATTGGTCTTGAATACTTCTTGGAATTGTGGTTCTAAAATCCTTGGGAGTATCACTTGGCAGAGCTACATTCCTTTATGAGTTACTGTCCTTACAAAGGGACTAAGGCAAAGAGTAGTTAAGTGATCTGCTGGAAGTGCAGTGAACTGTCTGTCATCTGTAATAACTAAGGAGATTGTCTCTTGTTTCTACCAAAGCAGTAAACTTTGTGATCAATAGCTAATATATATTGACTACTTACAATTGTTAAGCGCATTGTTTGGTGATTTTTTTTAATGATGTAATCTTTACAACAACCCTATAAAGTGAAAACTATTGCCTCTAATTTTACATTTGAGGAAATTGAGGCCTATAAAATTCCGAGAATTAAGTAAGTCACACAACCTGCTTTCATATTCAGCCCTAACTCCAGGACTTGTGCTCACATTTCCTGTGCCTCCTCCTCCTTTGGCAAAACTGCTCCAAGAGGAACAGGAACATAAGCTGTTCTTCCCTCTCCGTTCCCTTCAACACCATCAAGACTATCTACTTGGTACTTGCCTCTTCTCTTCTGGAGTATCATCTAGTGATAGAGCCTCAGGAAACCTCAAAACTCTCCACACAACCATAACTTTTTATTCTGCATGGCAGTTCTGGCTGCCAGAAAGGCTGTCCCAAGGGAGCTGGTCCAAGTCCTCAGTTGGGAACAGCAGGCCTTTGAGAACTGCCCAGAGTTCGCCATCCTTGGAGAAATTGCATGTGATGTCTGATGTTCACACAGGATGACTCCACTTTTCTCCCTGAGTGCTCACATTGCCTTTAGTATTTCATAGAGATTGATGGAAGCAGAAACCAAAACCCTTCCCCTGGAGAACGCGTCCATCCTTTCAGAGGGCTCTCTACAGGAAGGACACCGATTATGGATCGGCAACCTGGACCCCAAAATCACAGAGTAAGTCCAGATCACTTAGTTGGTGATGTGCAGAGGTGCAGTGCCTGCTGCAGATGTTCGGGAGAATTTTCGGAGCAGTGCTGTGCATGAGCCCTTCATTTGCTTTTAGATTTCTTTGATAGGGACATTATGCTGCCTTTAGACTGTTCCCATTTTTCATACATTTGCACTCCACAACTGTGAGGACATAACTTTGGTTTTCTTCACGTGTAAGCCTCTTCCTTTTAACTCTGCAAAGAATAGGATTCTTTTCCAACTGTTTGACTATGTACCCAGTGGTTAAGAGGAATTGTTCTAGATCAACCTGAGGCATATTTTGTCTCCCAGAATGGAGGAACAAGAAGTAGTTTGGGGATCTTTGCAAATAGGCATTTGGGCCCCCTTTGACTGACTGCTGTAAGCAACCACAGAAAGCAAGAGTGGGAAGGGATCTTAGAGATCACCCTCACCCCTTTGGTGTTCACTCATTCATTTAATGAATGGAGTGCCTGTTGTATGCACAGCACTGTGCTGAGCAGCTTAAACAAAATCTAAAAGAAGCCATGTGTGAAATAAGACTCCAGAGCTGTTTTCACCAAGAAGGGAAAAGAGGCACTCAAAGCCTTTTGAAAACCTCCACTCTTCTTTTGGCAATCCCTATGTGAGCTCCCTGGGTTGAGATCACTTGGGGACCTCTGATAACATCCCTCTTTCCCTACAATAAAGGTGATGAGGGTCTAAGAGGCAGAATTACTTTGCCCAAGATCACATTACTAATTGAATACAATAGTCCTGACTCCCAGTCTTTCCATCAGAGCCATTATAGTAAAAAGGAATATCTTGGCAGGAACTAATAGGTTTTTCTTTCCATCACTTGTTTTGCTGGTTGGGTAAGTAGGCTGACTTGAAGCAAGCATGAAGTAAATCAGCAGTCCTGGAATGACTCCGAGAGTGGGACTAAACAGAGTACGGAGAGAGGGAACCCGCTGATTGAGTCTGGGGTGAGGTGTGTTTAAGGAGGGGAGTAGGAAAGAGGGAGAGATGTGATTTTATATTACAACACCAAGGCTAGCTCCTAAACCTATGAAAACTCAGATCATATAGGTGCAAATATTATTGTGTCCATATAAGTTACAGAGATATTAAAGATACGTCACGTTCTTGTGGTCATGGGAACCCTGGAATGTGGGTTGTATTTAACATCCTCTCTTATGACATTGGGGACGGATGTGTGAATCAGCACAAGTTCTCAGTTAATATCTTTAATTAATTAATTAAATGTTCATTAATTAATGTTCATCTAAATCTTTCCGTCATCTAAAACCCAGGCTCTGAGGGGTGCCCTCCAGAGTGGTTACCATTCCTACCTCTCCGTGTCTGAATGGAAATCTAAAGTGTGGAAACAGTGCTGATTGTGTTGGCTGTAGTTCCAGGTGATGAGGTTCTGGTGCTGATTGTGTTCTACTGTCCATCAGAGGGTTCACAAGGGCACCTGCCTCTGGGTCAGTGGCATAGTAAGTGTGTGAATGTAGTCCTGAGTTACATCTTTAAGAGGAACACTGGATTAAGACCTTCCCACTGATACTTCAGTCAAAGGTGAACATTAGAAGCCAAGTGTAGGTCAGGCCTTGATGGCTAGAAATGTTGTGTTCTACCTGTAGTATCCACATTTCTGTATTGCCAAACCATTTTCTCTGTTTCCTTCTATGACTTCCTTACCTTGATGATTTGTCTTAAACAAACTGATTTGTTATATAATTTATTTTTAAAAACATAGCTGTCCATCAAAGCTTATGGTTCACACAAAAGCTTAGAGTTGCTTTGCTAAATTTCATGGATCTCATGGAAACATTATTTCCTTTAAGTTGCTCAAATGCATGGACTTTTAGGTTCTGCTGCTCAAAGGGTAGAAAACAGTGAACCTAGCTAAATAATTAATGTATATTCACTCCCTGGCTTTGAAGGAATATGAACACGTGGTACTTGTGTTGTCAGTTGAATCCAAATCTCTAACCTTCTAACGACTCACAAGGGAGTTTGCAGGATGTCTTCCGGTTTTCCTAATTAAGCTTTCCCAACCAAAGGCTGCTGCCACTTCCTGGTGTTTCCTCTACACCAGACCCTTAATGCTCTTCTCTGTGCCTGTATCCCAGCTTCTTAACACTTC